GTCGCATTGTTCTCACTAGACAAGTACCGGCCAGGAAAAAGGATAAGGAAGACAGAAACCGGACAGCATCTTAAAACAAAACCCATAAATCCGAGTGTCAGTATGGGGTATGAACAGTTGGTTTTTCAGGCCCCAAATGCTACCTAATGAAGTTCCAGCGGAGGCTATAATTGAAATCAGAATAGTATTCATCTGATCGTAGATTTCGCAATTCACTGTATAAATATAAAATATTAACAGTTAACTAATTGTATGAATAAATATGAATATAATATAATTAATTATATTAAAATCTTAAACATAACATGTCGAGTTAAATTTTATACGACATGATGTGATTAGTATAATTAAAATTTATACGATTTATGACATGTTTACCCGACTTATATGATTAAAACTATTTAATTAAAATATATATGAGTCAAATATGATTATGTTATTCAAATTTATAACCAAAAATTATAAATATCATAATATTTATCAAGTATAATAAAATTTAATATCAATAAATCTTAATCATCATAAAAATATTTGTACGTATAAGAATAAATAAATAGTTACTAAACATGTCTACACAACACGCGAATATGATTAAATAAATAAATAATAAATACATCATATATTATACAAGTACATAATAACATGATTAACTAATCGTGTCTTAGACTCTATTTATTCGTATCTTAAACGTGTTGATACGAATAATACATTATATATAATTAGCTTAAATCTAAACCTATTTAAACTTGTATCGTTTTTGTATTGTATTACCATGTCATATAAAAAATTATAAAATCTATCTTACTGATAGGGGATAACAGTCTGTATTTAATGAATAACTTCTTTAGCCTCTAAGACGCAACATATTCTCATCCTCTTCTCTCTACCAGTTAGGGCTTTGTGGGGATGGGCAATCCACCTTATAAAGTTTCAAAAGCTATTCAATTTATTCTACTTGTCCTACAAGAATTTTTGGTTATGTAGTTGGAAGGAATAAAAGTTGAATTTTAATGTTCTACTTTGCATTTTTTATAGTTGTACAACTAAGTCTTACTCACTCAAACTTGACTCATGAATATTTCTAAATTTTAAGTTTTATCTTGATAATTACAAAAACTTGTTTAGGGTAGAATTCGAAGGTCTTCTCAAAACTCAAAACACTTTAAAAGGACATTTTTTATCTCTTTAGTTTCAAAATTATGTTTTAAGTCCTTGTTAACACCATTAGTCGAACAATTAAAAAAATATATACGCAACACTAGATAACTATTTTAAAATACAAATGTCCTCTTAAAAAAATATATACTCATGTTTCCTTTCAAAATTTAATAAAATTCAATATTTGACAAAAGAAGAAAACAACTTAAAACTTAATAAAATTATAAAACGAGATTTGTGAATACGGTAGTTTGTCTCATTTTAATAAAATTCAATATTTGATAGAGAAAAAAAAATTTAAAACTTTTGATATATAATAATCAAGTCAAAAATCTTTCTATGTCACCCTAAACCCCAGCCAAATAACAAATTTTGAGTAAAAATTTTTCAATAAAATTAATAATCACAAATAAGAAATTAATCTCTTAACCCGACACTATTAAATTTGAAACATTCATCATTAAACACAAAATTTATATTTTAATACATTCTTTTCAATGAAAAAAATTCTCAAACTGTTGTAAAAATAAAAAATTTGATGATAATAGACAAGAAGTTTATGATTTTCATGGCAGATATGCTTCAAATTTTCAAACCTTCAAATCAAAATTTTTTAAGTTATTTTTTTCCTAATTAAGGTTTTTGAGGGAATATGAGCAATTTTTTTTTAAAAAAAAAAGAATATAATTCAATTAAAAAATAATATAAAAAGTATTTATATGTTAAAGATTATGTAATATTGGATCTAATTTTTTTTAGCTGTTGACTAATGGTGTTAACAGTTAAGAGATCAAAAACATTATTTTGAAACAAGAGAAACCAAAATGTTATGTTGAAGTGTTTTGAAAGACTTTTTTGAATCTTACTCAATTTGTTTATGTATATAGATTTGTACCCATTAGAGAAATAAGTACTAATAATAATTAGTTTAAGCTGATTTATATATAAACCTGTCATCGTTAAGTGTCAATATCTTAATTAATAAAAAGTCGAATAAAAAATTTTAATTTTGTGTAAATGATGATGTGATATGTAGTATATGGACATTATTGTGCTATCAATGATCAAATCAAGTCACGAGACATGCTAACAATAGGAAGATATATATGCATCATAACTTCAAATTACAAGAGCCATTTTAACACTGAAATCTTGTTTGTCATCTGATGTAGAGGAGCAAAATTTGCAACCATGGTGTCAACAAATATGGCAACACAGTACTTTTCATAGAATTCAAATCTTGTCATGCAGTGGCAAGAGGCACCATGATGACGAGGACGAAGGACGACGACGACGATAATAATGATGATGATGATGATACAAAGGGAGAAGTGATCACAAGCCAAGAAGTAAGGATAAAAACAATAAAGAGCAAAGGAAAAGCAAACCTAGCCTTTTTAATGTAGTGCTATTAGATAAAGGTGAATAGGTCAAAACAAAAACTAGTTGAAGCAATTTATTTATTCTGAGAAGGAACTTTAATGAGTGGACAGTAAGATGTACAGTGCATTTATGTGACATTGTTTACAAGGTTAATCAAAGTGAAAAAATTATTCTTACCCTTTTGCCTTCCAAGTTATTCCAACTACATTCGATTACAGATGTTACTAGGTCCAGTTTAGTCCTGTTGAGATGGGAATAAAACAAGAGAGCAGCTGGGCATGGATCTCACATCACCTACCGCCCGACACCCAACCTTTCCAGAGACTTTTTGTTTTTTGTTTTTTTTTTTCATTCATTTTCTTCTTCAAAAAGTACATTCAAACTCAACACTTTGAAGGGTGAAAGAGTTGATGTTAGCCATAAAGATAGACTTTTTTTAGGTCTTTTTTAACGTTTGGTTTTGGACTATATTAGGAGTTGGTTCTGAAACTGAGTACTTTTGGGTAACACATGGGCCACTTGGCCGCTTGCTTCTGTTTATTGGAATTATTGGGCAGTACTATACCAGGTTTCAAATCCTGTTCTCTGGATTTCAGATTGTTTTCCCTCCTAACAAAAATAAAATTTACAGGTTTTACATTTTTCGATTTACATTGGCCCGTTAGATATATATATGTATAGTATAAGAATGCCTTTCATAGAAACAACAAAAGAATTGTATGGTCTGTACCCCTTTTCTTTCTGAAAAGCACAGAAAGGAGATGTTAAACCTAGCTAGTTTCGAAAACCTGCATTCTGAAAACAAAAATTGCCTGTTCTTTTAGGATAGAAGGAAATGACATCATATGGCAACTTTTTCATTAGATGTTGCTCACATATATGTACGCCTAAACTGCTGGACAATTTATCGTTTCAGGCATGTGCATATGGCTGATGATTAAGCTTCTGATGTGATTAGAAATTGTACTTTTCACCCAACTTACAATACATGAAAATATACCAGAGCCCCCCTGTTTTCCCTAGCAAAATTTCCTCCTTTCTGGATTTCAGTAAAATGTCGGTGAGTAGATACGTATGCTTATGAACACCTAGCTTGAGTTAGCTGCTTGATGCAGTTAGACCATAAATGTATCAATAAGAAACTCTGCAGAGAAACACGTGCTGGGCTTCAAAGTTGGAATTCAAAACCTTACCAGATTACCAGTACAGTGACAGTTTCTCTGCGTAAACTACGAGGTTGGGACCAGTACTGCTGATTATTCCCAAATCCTCCAGAATGGTTAAAACATTTGACGTGATTCAGTATTGACATACATCTGTGATAATCTTTTAAAAACCTACCCATATCTGTAAAGTGTCAGCCATCTCTCTGCTTCCCTGGTGTGAATTGCCTGTTTATCTTTGGTGCATACGCTTTGGATGTTCAATGCGCATGCATCAAGATTTTTATCTACTCCGAAACTTCCCAACTTATCTACCTCTGACACTGCTATAGAAGTCTAGGTGTGTGTCCAAACGGGAAAGTAACCAGAAGGCACCCCTTTTATCTCATGCTTGAGAGTAAATCAGATTCTTCAGCTGTCAACGAAAAAGATTGATGCTCACTGTATGCCTTGCCCCTGCAGGTGGCCTGGACGACCTGGCTTACGGATAATCACAACTATGCACGCAGGCTCAGAATTTGGAAGATGAAAAAAAATTGTAAATCCGGGGGTACACAGCTAGCTGACTAGCTACACTAAATCCTAACTCTGTCAACTTTGTTGAATCAACTGAGAATCGTAATCAGAACATGTCCTCGAATTCTCCCCCACCTCATCTCTTAATGTGGCCAGGGCTGCTGTCAAAAGCTCCAGCCTTTCTAAATTTCCCCGCCAGTGTGCAATTTCCACCCCTAAGCCATCTGCAATAGTAGGACACAAATACGTAATTTACTTGCATGATTTAGGGGTTGTCATACATCTGTCAAGTTGTAATGCATCAGAACCGAAGGAAGTAATTAATGAAAAGAATTACTTCGATGTCTAGATTGCTCCAAGTAATCCATCGCAACAAGCAAACGGCTGTTTAGATATCAAACTTTGAACGTGTGTGTATTCGTAAAGTAAGGTGCAATGCCAGAGAATACGATAGAGGGCTAAAGAGATTCTGTTTAATTTTCTTTAATTACAAAGACTGGGCTTAAACATTAATAGTAAAAAATGTGTTGTCACCCTGACTAGTAAATGTGAAGGATGCCCAAAAAATCATTCAACTGTATAATGGGATTAGTTGCTTTTATTAACTTCATCATTAAACTGCTTGTTAGGCATCACTTTATCACTAGATAATTTTGCATTGGAGATGATCTCGTAGCCATCGCCATTCCACGGACAAGTCATAAAAAGTGCACCCAGGATCGTCCTTTTTTTCTTGGTTTTTGATGTATTATTATGTATACGTATACGTATACATACATATTGATCTAAATTCAAATATTTTAAACCCAGCCAAAAGAAGGTAAATACATCAGGTGTTAAATCTTTTAAATAGTTATAGGATTGAAGTAATGGGTGGAAGGTTGTTATCCCAAACGATACTGTTAACCAGTGCCAAACTGAAGCAATTGTGGTCGTTAATTTTTTTCCTTTCCTAGTCATAGCCATTGACTTGCCACCACCCACCGGCCTACATTTCCAACATTAAAATTGAAAGTAATTGTAGAGCTAATTTCTCCTTGAGGCTTGGGAGAGACCCGAGGGATCATATTCATTCTCTCTCAGGTCTCTCAACAGTCCATGTACTGAACTCATTTATCACGTCGCTTTGGGATGAAGACGACAAAAAAAGAAAAGGGTGGATGGAAAGAAAAAATATGTACGTTAGCCGCAAAGGTTTCCCTTCGAAAAAGGCTTTGCAGGGCCATCAACTTTTGGACATACTAACTAGACATAGAGATATGCTTTCGAAATTGAGAGCACCTTATTTCGTCTTTGAGGACTCTCTCAATGTCTTATCTGGTCCTCTTCACCGCCCCTAGTCCTGGAGCTAAAAACACATACGGATATGGTAATTCAAATGGGGTTCTTCCTTTTGTCAATCTGTTCCTTCTGCACTGCCAGCTCAACTCATGAAGTAATTAATCATAATATGAGATTCAATGTGAACATAAAGTGTTTATCTATCTCGTTTTTTCATATATTATAATAGTTCATAGATACAAGGTACACCAGAAAAGTTTCGAATGAACAAAAGGCTCTCATTTTTCCATTACCAAGGTGCTAATAAACGCAATGCATGCATGTCTATTCCATGGTTATGATTCTGCCATGCATAAATAAATCAAAACTAATTAATCTCTACCTCTAATTTCCTCGATACTTCACATGCAATTTTCACTTTCTTCCTTTCTGATAGCACAGCAATGCAATATATGAGAATATATACTTTGTACCTGCTCAGCAGATACCAAAACTTTTACCAATATCTTGCATGAATAGATCAGATAAGTAGCTATATAGGCATGATGCATCTAATCTAGTATCTAGAGAGAAAGCTATAACTACGAGTGAAGATAATAATCACGATCCACATCTCCTACAACAAAATGGCATGCAGCTGCTAAGCTAAGTTTCTGATGCCTTGAAACTTGGTTGTATAGCCAATCCCATAGCATCTTCAGAAAAAACCCAGGCCTAGTTTGATTGATGATTAAAATTTGAATCGGATGTAATTAGTAACCAGGGCCCCATTCCTATGGTCCTAACTCCACCTTCACTTTTTAAGGGCCAACCATACTCTTGGCTGCTTTGTATAAAAACCCCCCACCTGCTTCTCTTCCACTGTATGGATTACAACATTTCCATATGCATTTATTCCTATATTAATCAGCGTAACGACTCTAATAACAAAGCCAAATGTTTACGCTACCAAAATTCTCACTTGATTACAATTCAAGTATGGTGTTCGTATAATGGACACAGTTATTAAATTTACAGTTATTGTATGTCAAAATTTCAATTTCAATCATATATTAACTCTGTTTCCCTGCATATGGAAGCAAACTTAACTGAAGATGGCAACGTTTGCAAAGAGGAATATCTTCACTTCTTCCCCCCCCCAAATCCCAGCATTTTTTTTTTTGCTTTATTATGTACTTTTCTCTTTATACACAACACATAATTGATTCCATCAGATCGGTTTGTTGCATGGCATTGAGATGTTTTACTTTTCTTCTCATCCTTTTTTCTTATATTTTCAATTTAGATTTTAGGCACATTTAATTAGTTTCAAATATTCTATTGCTAGTTTGACGAAAAATATTAACTCTTAAAACGAGAATAAATATGTACTTATTATTGAATTGGATACATGATCATGTAGTCATAATATATTTTTATAATAAACAAGATTACTTTTAACATTCATTATTTATTAGAAATTTAATTATTTCGTAAATTAAAATGTTCAAACTGTATACGATTTGTGAACAATATTTTCATTCAACATTTACTTTTCAGATGTTAGTCAATATAAAGTTTAGTACTACAAAAAGTAAGCTATAATTGAAAAAGGACACCGAAGTAAAATTAAAAATATTTATCAGAGGGACAGAAATACCTTTCTTTTTTACTATGCTCCATTAACTAATTCGCGTTTCACACGGCACTGGCTTGGCCATTTATACACTCATCAATAATCATCTATACCTATGCCCCTTATCTAGGCTCTAGGCTTTGGCTGTCCTCCCCTACACACCAATCAAATATATATATATATGTATATAACAATTACCATTTCTTTTTTTAATTACGTTACAGATATATTAAGTTCTTTGGATTAAATTAATGACATTAATTAAGATTAAAATACTATATAGCATTAATGTGTCATTAGTTAAGCCAATTATGGTAATTGGCTTTCCTACGTGTAGATGGGTTAATTAATTGGTATTCAAAAACTTAAAGGCCAATTTTAAGGGAGATGACATGGCAAAGGATTCGATTTTTTCTACGTCAAAGTAAAAGCGTGAGAGATGGTCACCGTGTCATACATGTCCCCGATCACGGTGTCACGAATAACGGAGATAGGACCACGTATGATACACACACGGTAACAAAAGAGAGAAGAGGAAATATTACAACATCAAAATAAAATCTGCACCGTTGAACAGATCAACGGCCGCGGATGCAGCATCTCTTCAGTCGATCGCCTTTTTAACACGCTCTCCTCCGCCTAAAGCCCGAAAAGGAAACAGAGGTCTTTTCCTCTCTTTTAACTACAACCAAAAGAGAAAAGAATGGGTGATCGTATGAGGAGCTGTAAACGAAGTGCCGAAACAGCAGAGATGGAAGCCTCGAGCACAAGCTTCTCATTATCAAAGAGAAGAAAAACCGTTGATTCTCGAGAATTGCAGGAATTCGAGTTAACTTCACCGGATATTGAGCTCGAAAACCCTCACTTCCTTTCAAATTCGCAGGACAAGCCTATTACCGTTGCCACCTCCTCGAATTCCGGTGGAGTACTCGCTGGCGACATGTGTTCAAGCCTCTGCTCCGGCGAGTCATCGGCTTCTCGTTGTTCTAGCAATGAGTCTTGTGATATCGTCAACGATAGCTTTAGATTCGTAGATCTAGAGGTGAATTTCGAATTTCCGTTTCGTTTTTTCTTTTGCTTTTTTTTTGTTTTACCGTTTGGGTGCTGAGAAAAAAAGAACGAAGGAAATGAACAAAGTGAAAGCCTCTCTATTCGTCGAAAGATTGCCGTTTTGCATGAGCTTTAATTGATCGTTTTTAGTATATGTTAGATATATTAATTAGTTACCTAATCATAGTTCGTGAATGTGCTTTTGCAGGCCAAGAGTTTCGAAACTGAAATCTCAACGTGCATCAATATCAACAAGTTCAGGTTAATTGTCACTAATTCGTTCATTAATTACTACTATCTTTCTATTTATTTTCATTTATATCCTTCAAATTTTCAAAAAAACCGAATCGTTTCCCATAACTCTCCCGTTTTTATGATCTCCATTTTTACTCTTTTATTTTTCAGTAGAGAAACAACTCCATTAAGCGAGCTCTGCGGAGACTCAGACGAAATGGAATCGCCTGAGAAAAAACCGCCACCGTCACCGTCGAAGCCGCCGAAGAAGCCGTCCCAAGAGGAGATCGACGAGTTCTTTTCCTTCGCTGAAAAGTACGAGCAAAAACGATTTGCAGAGAAGTAAGTGTTCTTTCTTTCCATTTTTTGGTGGCATAGGATAAGGAGTGTCACCACAAATGCTTAATGGCGCATTTTAGCATTCGTAGGATCAGGAATCCGAATCTGTCAATCTCTAACTAACTAACAAACTTTTTATTTTTGCGCGATTTTTGCAGGTACAATTATGATATTGTCAAGGATGTTCCTCTCGACGGTCGATACCAATGGGTTCGGTTAATGCCTTGAAGACAGAGAGACAAAGAAAGAAAATGAAAGAGAGAGAGAGGGGGTAGAATAACACGAGGTAGCACGGAGATTGCATTTGACAAAGAAGGAAGGGGTGGCCGGTAGTTTGTTATTTGTACAGTTCTTTTGCCATTATCTAATGTAAGAAAAAGCAAGCAGGCTCAACCGCTTTTTTTTTTTTTTTT